TCTCCATCATACAAGGCTGCATCTGTGAGAACATTAAAGTCAAACTCGAGTAGCTCTGTTCAGATAGAAACAGTAAGGATAATATCAATCCCGCAAACACGGGAAGTCAGCTCGCCATCATAGTTGAGGTTCTGGTAGAAAGCTCTCTCTATAACCTCCAAATACGGGCACATCGTTTCGCAAGCACTAGCAAATGTGTCTGCTCAAGAAATGGCACAATGTCAAACCGCTCCAAGTTGAAGAAGGCTGAATCCAGTGATTTCAGCTCACAAATCTTGCGGCTCGTGAAGGATTTCACAAACCTCTCGTGTGCGTCAGTGTCATCCTCAAAGAAATATCTGAAAGGCAAGTCTGGAGCCTGATGCATAGCAGCATTGGGCTGAGAGGATGACGACCTATCATGTCGGCGCTTGGTCCTCCTCGGTATCAACCACTCTCTTCTTCGAAATACATCTATCAGTCGTTTCGCCACAATATGAAACTAAAAAAACAAAAATGTAAAATCAGAATCATAATGCAAATCAGAAAGTTCTTGTTAAGGTTAGGGTTACGGTTAGGGTTAGGACAATTCAGAATGAAAAATAATAATCAGAATGCAAATCAGTTAGGGTTAGGTTTAGGGCAATTCAGAATGCAAATCAGTTAGGGTTAGGGTTATGGTTAGGGCTAGGGCAAACTAGAATGCAAAATAACAATCATAATGCAAATCAGAATGAAATGTTTGTGCACATGAATGTGACAAACAAACGAAAATCAGAATGCATTGTTAGGGTTTATCAAAAATCAAAACGAAAAAATGTACCTTTCTTGGATATTCAATCGGTTGAAGGTAGAAACGGTGGTGGACGAAGGATGGTCGCAAGGGAAGCAAGTTGTCCAACCTCTACAGGTCAAGGAGTCACTGATTTCGCCCTTGTGGAAGCTCTACCCGGGTACTCTTGTGTGTGGGGCTGAAATGGGGGCTGCTGGATTTTTTAAAAATCCAATCCGCGACATTTACTCGGGTATCCCCCTCCCTACCCGCGTAAATAATTCAACCCAATTCCCAGATCATGAACAATACCCGGATAGCCCACCTGGGTGCTCGGGTGGTGTTATTTTTTCGAAATATATTCGAGTATCTTCCTATGTACCCAGATATTTAACAGTGACAACAGTAAAATAGGAGCAGATGAGTGAAATATTTTGATAAAAAGAAGATTTGATAATTAATTATTAATTAAAGACTACTTTGATAAAAAAACTTTATTATATCCTATGTATTCACGTGTCTACTGTGCATGTGAAACTCCTTCGCTTGAAATGATCAATTTCCATGCTCCATTTGTTTAATTGTTTTAATAGAATAATGATAATTTAATAAACAGTTAATAATAAATTCCTTCCCTCGGAACAACTCAGTACTCCTATATCAGCTGCATCTTATCAAAAAAATATAACATATCACTTGACATTTTTTTAAAAAAATTTTAATTTTAATATTATAATTTTTTATTTTATAAAATATATAATTTATAATTTTATTTTGAAGGACGGTAGTATATTAAATTTTCCCCTTCCGTTGTCACTTGTGATCCGTGCATCACTCTCACTCTCAACTAATGGACAAACTAACGACGTATTTTTATTATGTTGATATATATCATATTTGAAGGGGGCTAGTCTATATGGCACTTAAAAAAACGTACTTTTTATTCAAAAAAAAAAAACGTACTTTTGTTGAATTCTTTTCCTTTTACAATTTGCCTGTCCGCTACAATTGTTATCCTATGAAAAAATGATTTGGGACATGACGTGAATCATGTAACTCTTTCTAAGCAATTAATAATAAACAAAGACCAATGTGAAATATTTTGTTGACTTTATCAATTGGTGACTTAGTAAACGGACAACGACTCTCTAAATTAGGGCCCGTATCAGAAATAAATTCTAATATAGTTACTTAACAGTTAGTAAGGTTCCATTCCAATATATTAAATTAAGTATAATGAGTGGTTCTTATCTTTTTATTTTATCCAATATTTACCATTCTTATCTTATTGAATTCTACAAAACATTTTTGTTTTTGAATGATTATCATTGCTCTTATTTATAAGCATTATGTTAGGTTAATCTTTAATTTAAATAAAGAAAATAGAAATATGGAGGGTTTTTGGTGTGTCCCTAGACATATGTTAGTGGACATTTAATATGTTTAGATTTCTTATGTTAGTCTTTATTATTCTTAATCATTTGTTGTTGCTTATAAAAAGCACATTGTAACTCTTGAAAATTGACTTGGTAGAATCAGTAATACAATAGAGGTATATTCTGAGAATTGTGTGTGTATCTTGTGTGAGAGATAAAACACCATTAGAGAACCTGTGAAATATCAAATTGGTATCAAAGCTTGATATCAATGGAAGGTGTGAGTAATGGTCTGCCAGTGCCCCGCCTGAAAAAGGGCAATTATGAGAATTGGAGCATCCAAATGAAGGCTCTTCTAAGAGCCTATGACAGTTGGGGGTTAGTGCAAAATGGGTTCGTAGAACCTGAAACAACAGAAGGATATTCAGCAAATCAACTCAAGCAGTTGAGTGCGACGAGAACAAAGGATGCAGCAGCACTCTTTATGATGTTTCAAGCTGTTGAAGAAAGCGGTGGTCTTGAAAAGATTGGAGGCGCAACGACGGCTAAGGAGGCCTGTTTCAAATTATAGTTTTTTTTTCTCTCTCCTCAGATGCTAACGTGTAAAGTAAAAAAAAAAGTACAACTTTAATATTATAATTATGGTATAGGTTATCATGCCTACTCTTATTTTGTCTACCCTTGCCTATCTCTTTCAACACCGATAGATTACAATCTCATCCAACGGTGGAGATTTACAGAATAAAATAAATCATTTTTCTATTTCTTTCTCTTTACTGCCTCCCACACTCTTTCTCTCTCCTCTCATTTCTTTCTCTCTATCGATTCGCGTAATTTACAACTTGAATTTATATTTGAATCTAAATCCATGCAATTATTAATGATATGATAATTTTGCTGGATGAGTATAATTTTTAAAATTTCTTGAATATGATATGATTAAACACAGTAGAAATCACAAAATTGAAAAAAAAAATGAAAAATCACGAATAACCCTTTATTTGTCCACGATTATTGTAACGTTTATACTCTTTTATTGAAATTTGGAACAAATCAACTTATCTCCTCCTTCTTATTTTTTTTTTTCACCATGAAATGAGGAAATGATCTCTGTTCTCTCTATGTTATGACCAACAACAGGCCTACCAGCTAAAAGAAAATAACTTATATCTTGAAGAGTACAAAAAAAAGTTAACCGATTATTTATAGAGTTATATTTATCTTATGTTACATAAAATATATAAACAAGTTTCTTACACACACAAAGTGGAGGTGGGCCTCACATTTATTTTTCTTTCCTCTTATATGTGAATTTCACTTATAATTTTATTTTTATAACATGAGATAACCAATCTTTTATAACATAAGATAAATATAACTCTTATTCGTATCCGTAAATGAAACGGGTTTAGGTTTGGCGCGTTGATCTCTAGCATCACACGCACTCTCAATTAATGGACAAACTGACAAGATATTATGTTGATGTTTTCTATTTGAAAAGGGCTTAGCCCATGGCACTTACTTTTTTGGATTCTATCTTTCCCTTTGCAACTTGCCTGTACGCTGCAATTGTTATTCTATAAAAAATAAAAAATGGGACAAGTGTGTTACATAACTTAATACGTAAATAATAATTAACAAAGAAGACCAATGTATAATATTTTGTTGACCTTACCACTTAGTGACAGTTAATAATTAAAGGGGACAAGGACCCTCTAAATTAATTAGTATTAACGGTAGGGTCTATCCCACTAATTAATTGTAAAATTCACACGGCTTGGTTCTATTCAATGACTTATATTATTTGTCCATGATAGTAGGTAGCATGTGGCTGCTTCTGATGAACCAAATTGATGATAAATATTTAGGGAGTAATATTTATATTAAACTCAATAAAATGATAATTGTAATCACACGAATCAAATAGTCAGACCTAAAAATGCAACGCAGTGCATCCTTTAAACCTTTTTTTGAGTCACTCCAACATGTGTTGGAGTGTCGTAAGATGTTAGACACGACACATAAGAATTTTTGAAGTGTCGGAGCTTCCTAACAAAAGAGTATGTATATATATATATATATATATATATATATATATATATATATAGGCAGTATATTCTTACACCGGTGATACGACACTCTAACACATTAATTCAAAAAATATTATATTTCGACACGTTAAGACACGTGTTGATATTAAATAATATTTTGAATTTATGTAGTGTATATATTATATTTAATATTTAATAATTTAACAAAAAAATGAAGCCAAACTTATAATAGCCATCAATTTTGCAAAGAAACATAAGATATCACAAATATTTATATTAAACTCAATAAAATGGTAATCGTAATCCAACGAATCTAATAGTCAGACACGACACGTAAGAATTTTCGGTGCTTCTTAGCAAAAGAGTATATATATATATAGGGGCAGGATATTCTTATACTGATGTAAGAGTTAGAAGTTTTACGCTCAATCTTGACCATTGGTGTAAAATAATCTCGACCCATATATATATATATATATATATATATATATATATATATATATATAGAGAGAGAGAGAGAGAGAGGACAGTTTTTACAGAACAAGTTGGCATATTTTTAAACTCTTGGATTAATGAGTGTTTTTTTTTTTATTTAATCTAATAATCACTCTTAAATCTTACTGAATTCTGCTAAATTCTGACTTTTTTAAAATGATTAGCATTTCTTAATTACTACAAGTGGTTTCCTTGCAACGAGTTACGCTAAACCTTAACAAATATTACATCCACAAATCACAATGAATATAGTAGAATATGAAATACAATGACCACACATACACTCACATTCAACTTGTAAATCATGAAAAACTCGAAGGCTAAAATTTAGATAGAACTGAAGTTATTATTTCTACCATAATCCCGATATTCAAGCACATTACCAAATCTTGATGTACGATTGCAAGTGATAACGGAGCAAATCGTTTGCACAACCGACAGAACAAAAAATACAAGAGCTGCAACAACTATGAAGAATTTCCAACAAGAACCCCCGTACTTGGTCATGACCCTGTATAGCTTCTGGGTACTATCGAACTTATCTTTAACTTTCTTAATCTCTTCATCCAACTGTGGAGTCTTTGTAGGCCGAATTGATTTGCTCATCCCATTGAAAAGTTGTGCCACGACTTCATCACTTAGCTCGGTCTGAATGATTTTCTTATGTACCAGTAGCTTCACATCCTCGGAAGTGTTTATAATAGCACTCATTAACTCCGTGTACCTTGTGAAGATCAAGTATTTGGATTTAATTAATGACTCATAGGCCACCAGGTTTCTGATGATGACTTCTGAGTTGACATCCAATCTGATACTGGGCAAATCAAATTGGCACTTTGTGACATCGAATTCAATGGATGAGATGCCACCATTAGTAGGATGTAAGTGGATCCCAGCTTTGTCGAGTTCCATCGCAGATGGGATCATGACAGCTAGCGAAGCATCAATGTTTTTCGATTCCTGAAAAAATTTAAAAGTGCCCCTAGTTTGTTCTACGAATGTTGCATAGGGTTTCAGGACTTTGAAGTTGCTAGTGGTTAGCAGTTTATGTAACTCATCAAATACAGGGGAACAGAATCCTACCAGTTTTAGTAATAGACCAAATAAAAAACTTAACACCCAAAAAATGAGTTCCAGAATAAGCAAAACAGCACATATCATGACAAAGCAGATGAGCAATAGATATACAGGTATTGAACTGAATAAGTCCCAGCATGTAGTTTGAGTCTTTTGTGAGTCAGGCCTAGATTGAGGCTCGGGGTCAGGGTCATTCTTAGGTTCGGGCGGATGCTCAGGCTCGGGTGGTACTATCAAATGGTACATGAGATCCAACAAATGAACATTATTGACATCTTTGGATTTGTTGGTATGAAGTGGACAGAATTTTGTACAGAAATCAAGCATCACTGTACCCAGATGTTCATCAACATTTAGATCTTTCATGATGCTCTTAAGGATACAAGTGGGAATTTGGTTCTCGAGCATGAAAACGTCGCTGACAATAGCATACTTGGTAAATTCAACTCCAGCAGCGTTGACCAAGGGCGTCCCTTGTTTTTCAGTAAAGATGGAAATGTTTCGGTTGAGTTGTGTCAAAGTAATGTCAACGCCTTCTTCTTTGCTTTCCAAACTGTGATTGTGAAGAAACTGGTAAAGGAACAAAGCATCAACGATCATCAAGTACAAGAGGGTATCATCTTTGAAGGCTATGTTACCGTCGTAGCAATCGCGAATAGTTGGGGCGAGTTTCAACTCCTTGAGCTTCTTCTCAGCGTAGTTGGTGAAGTCGTTGAGCATCCTCTTGGCTGTGGACAACTTCAATTTGTAGAACTCGGGACGGCTATGGTGGTATGGGCCAAGGCCCACGAATTGAGGAGTGAAGGCTTCTGACTTTGCTGAACTTAGAGATTTGGGAACACGGTACACACAAACAGCTTCATGATTCAATTCTTCACTCTTCATAAATTCTTTAATATTGATCAACACCAAATCTTCTTTGTCAGTATTGGTATTCCTGGTGATTGAGTTTCCCGCTTCGTCAGAGGCCATGATCATTCTTCTTTTGGGGTTCGTTAATTTTGGGCTGTGCGAGCATCACTTTGGTTCTCTACGTATATACTCGGAGAGATGGAATAATCACAGCCCTTGAATTATTTCTGTTGTTATATTATATATTATTATATCATCCTATGTATCCCCATGTCTAGTGTTGCGATTACACAACAAGTATATTGATCGTTTCAAGTACTAAAAGTAGAATAAAATAAAATATCGTCCCACGAGAATTAATGTACCAAATATTATTATAACTAATCCCTTTAATTGAAAAATTCAGTTTAGTTTGGAAATATATTTTGAATAAAAATAAAAGTAATTAAAATTAATTGATGTAAAACTCAAGAATATTCAAGAAAGTAAGAAAAGATATGAGTAAAGAATATATGGAAAATGTAGTCATGATACACTTCATCGTTGATCCTCCTTTATAAACCTGAATTAATTCTTATAATTAAGTAACTCATTAATTCAGACAATTCATCTTTCTCAATTCAATTAGTTAAACCCTGATGTCATAGTGTATTTAACCCTTTAACCCAATTAGAATCCTAGTGTCCCAGTAATCCCTCTTGAATCAAGCATTACAGTGATGAATCAAAAAGTCTGCAATCCATACAAGTCTATGTCTAGATAATGCACAAATTGTTATTTTACCCTTGTCAGGATTAAAATCCCAATATACCTATTGTGAGCTCTAACCCTCAAAGCCTTGTAAAATTGATCAGATTTAATAAGGATATGGAAAAAATTGTTTAAGGTAAAATAAAACTAATTGAATTAAAATAATTATAAAAACAATTTAGAAATTATAAAGGATTCACATGGCATCCATGATCCTAACTACAAAGAAAAATTAGCCAGACATGACTGGCTTAAACAAATTAAAAGAAGAACAAGAATTCATTAAAAAGAAGAAAGATGAAAACAAAGAAAGTCTTTAATCTTCAATCTTCAATTTCTCTGAGTGTTGATCTCTAGCATAAATCTCTCAAAACTCTCTCAATTTCTCGATTTATCCAAACTCTCTAACCAAAAAAATATTCTTTCTGAGGGTTTTTACTCCCTTTTTTTATAGAAAGGGTTCAAATATCTCCATATCTTCAGCAAATCTTTGATTTTAAATGTAACGCCCTGTCTGCAGCCGGTTAATTAACATTTATATGATAGTAAGTGCAACATGCTCAACTTAATTAATGTGAAAACTAACTGATTAAATTTTCTCTTTTTCCTTATGTATTGCAAACTTTTTCACTTTCATGGACAAAATAAAACGGACAACATTTCGTCTATATTTTGGACCACTGGGGATAATTCCCTTCATGATAATTTCAACCTGATTGACAGTTTAATATAAGTTTGAGTTACAAGACTCATTGAGAGAATATATATATATATATATATATATTGATAGCTATTAACAAGAAGAACCTATAAACAACATTCTAACTAACTGAAAACAAACTCTAACAGATTCTAACTAATTTAGTTACAAGCATTACACGTGTGCAAATAAACAAACTGACGTATCATAATACCCTCCCTATTTGGCTAAGGTCGTTATATTATGTGTTGTGATTCGCTACTCCCAAGATATCTAATTCATAGGTATCTAGAGAGAGCATCAGATCCTATATCAATCAACTAACCTATGATTAGACATCTCTGCGGCACAGGCAAGACACTTTGGAAAGAATATCTTTAGGATATCTTTATTATTTGTAAAGATCTATTTTCTTATTTCATTAGGATTTAGGTTAAGTATGAGCTAAGTCCATTAGTATTTCTTTATATTATACTCTCCTGAATCAATTCAATATACAAATTTATTCAATGTTCTTCTCGTCTCTTGTTATTTTACATAGTTCTTCTCGTCTCTTGTTATTTTACATGGATTATATTAGTGATAACCATTTTAAACTGCAAGAACGTGCACCGGACGATCCAGTGGTTTATATTTTATTAAATTATTGTTATGATTTTAACCTTGTTACAGTGGAAAACATTTTTTACGATTTAGATATCGTATAGTTTTCTTAAAACTACATTTGCCAAATTAAAGGATAACAGGTATGATACTTACTGGTTGGCCATTAATTAAATACCAAGTCTAATAATTCAGTGATGCGGGATAATTCATTTATAGGTTTCAGATTTCTTTATTTTCTGTATAAAATCTTACTATAATAAGTTGTTAATTTATTTATTTTTTGGATAAGAAGGAATGAAAAGAAACAAAAATAAGACTACACTACGTCAGGCACATGCGTGCCATTCCAACCCCTATTGCGTCTCGCTTGACCAACTAGCACACCCAGGCCGAGGTGAGTAGAAGTAGGAGATTCGTCGGCTATCAGTTTGTCGATTGCTTCAAATTTCAAGCATAATTATGGGTTAATGTTTCTCACATATTTTATTTCCTAAGTATACATAAAATATGTGAAGCTTATATAAGATGATGTGAAGAGAAGAGAAAGAAAAGAAAAATATAAACCTCTCATATTTTTATGTGTGTATAAAAAATAAAATTATTTTCTATAATCTAAGAAATATCTATAAATAAAGAAAAAAAAAATGTGTCCTTTTAAAGTATATATAAACTTAAGTCCTTTTAAGAGAAAAATAGATATAAAAAGATGAGACTTGTGCCATTTTTTTTTTTTATCTTTATTTTTTTCAGTAAAATTCACACTTCTTTATATTTATGATCTCTCTCTTAAATTTATGTGGAAATATACTTTTTCCCATAAATAAAACGGGTTTAAGTTGGACGCGTTGATCTCTGACATCACGTGCACTCTAAAAGTCTCAACTAATGGACAAACTAACAAAACGTATTTTTATTATGTTGATATCGATTATATTTGATTACTTTCCTTGGATTCTTTTCATTTTACAATTTGTCTGTTCGATACAATTGTTATCCTATGAAAAATTAATTTGGGACATGACGTGTTATGCAACTCTTATTGAATTCTGCAAAACATCTTTGTTTTTGTAACATTATTCTTATTTATAAGTATTACAAGTGACTTGCTTGCAAGTTGCAACGTTAACGAGTTAAGGGGATGTTTAGTTCAAGAATTTATTTTTGAAATAATAAGGAAATGTAATAGATAGAGAAATGATTGAAAAGATAGATAAATTGAGATAGGTAGAAAAATGTAAAAAAAAGTTGTTTGGTGGAAAAAAACTTTACTGGAAAAATTAAGTAACCTTATGAAATCAACAGTGCATTAAAAGCCAGATAACCGATTTTCCGAAAAATCCCATCTTCAAATTGGGTTTCTAAACAGTGCGGATATCTATGTTTCTCATAAATCCATACAGATTGGATAGATGGGTTTTTGGTGAAAATACGTTGAAACAAACATGGTGTTTCTAAAAGTCATACTTAAGAAACATAGATATCTGCTGAGAAGCTTCCAACCAAACACCACCTGACAGATATTACTTACGCAAATCGCAATAAATACCAGATATCACAATATGAAATACAATGACTCACATTCAACTTGTAAATTTAAAAGTGCCCCTCGCTTCCACGCATGATATGCAAAGGGTTTCAGGAATATTTGATTGTGTTTTTTTATTATTATTATTAAAATTGTTTTGCAGAATAATTAATAAAAACGGTATTTTATGTTTTTTTATTTTATTTTGAAAATCAAGAGTTAAAATACAAAACAGAAATGATTCTAAAAATTAAAAAATAATTATAATTTTTAGAACTATTTTTATAAAATAAGTCTTATCAAACGAATTTTTTACGGTCAATGTAGATAACTTATCTATATTGAGCCCAAAATGACGTCATTTTGAAGCCAAAATCAAGATAACTTTGTAATTATAATTTATTTCAAGATTATAATAGTCTTTTTCATTATAATTTTTTAACACCAAATGACGTTGTTTTGGGAGCGAACGTAGATAACTTATATACGTTAACTGTAGAAACATTAAAGTCTTATTTTATTTATTTTTTATTTTAAAAATCAAAAAGCTATTTCTAAAACAGAAATCAAACATGCCCTTAGATTCAAAATAAACAATATATCCCGCAGGCATAGGAGACGAGAAACAGAAATGCAAGTATATGACAGAATATCCATAAGCATGGATACAGCATGCATGTCAGCATGTGATTATTTTCTTTATCATGACTCAGGCCCAGAGTTAGGCTTAAATTTAGGCTCGGGTACAATCGAATGGTACATGAAATCCTACAAATGAACTTGCTTGAGACTTGAGAGCTATGGAAATGTTGGTGGGAAGTGGTCAGACAGCTGTCGTCATGGCAGCTGTAACTGCCTAAAGATCTGTTGGATACGGAAGTATTACTAGTAAATTATTATAATGAGTTAGTGTACAGCTAATTATAGACTTATTCTCTTAGCGGGATTTTTCATAGATAAATTGAATGATACTAAACCAGTAAACCTTAACCATTATTAAACATTTGGTTAGTAAAAAATGTAGGTCCTGAATATCGATGGGAGTATACACAAGTAGCCCTTGTGATTGGTGTAATATACACTGGATATGCAATGCTATGACCATTTAATTAATGGTTGAATTGTATTATGATATGACATGAAGCATCGTACAAATAGTATTATACTTATTCCATCCCAAATTACTAATTAATATGTATTTAAATTGATGTCACAACCATACAAATATCAGCTATCTCTACACCAGCTTTCAGTCTTACTTGAATTATTTGGATATTCTAGCCATGTTATTTGTTTCATAACTACAATAATTTCAAATTAACGCTGCATAATGGGGAAAAATAATGGCAATGCTAGATTAATATGTTATTAAGGTGAGTAAAGCGTATTACATATTATTTTTTTGGTAAATTATTACATTTTATTTCATTGAACTTACAGTGGTTCTTGTTATAATGTATAATTAAAATAATTTATTTATTAATATTTATGAAAATATTAAAATTATACAAGATCTCGTTTAATTTACAGGTATGTAAT